CAAACCCTTTCAATGTCCAGACCCAGAGGGAAGGTGCCCACTTGGGGCTCTCTGAGTGAGCGAGTCATCCCTTGGAACTATTGGCCTGGATCTGTTGGCCCAGTGAAGCCTCTGGTGTTGACTTTGATGCCTCCGCCGTCTGTGCAGTCTGGCGTGGCGGTCAAGGTGCCCTTATGGCCTGCAGGGGTTACTATCAAAATATAGTTCTTCCACTTGAGGTGATGATCTAGGGACCTGGCTCTGTCCTGGAAACACCCTCACAGATGGGCTGACTGCGGCCAAAATAAATAGAAGTCCATTGAATTAGTGGAGAATTTTGTACATTTGGGACGTTGGGTATGACTTGGAAGTGATGGCTAATTTAGGCCACGTCCCTTCCTTCCTTCATTTATTTAACAGATATTTATTATTGAGATATTAGGTCATTATTGAGCACCCATCCTGACCAGACACTGAGTTAGCTGCCAGGGTGAGGAGGTGAGTGAGGTGGGCACAATCAGTGACTCCAGCTAGACAAAGTCCCACCGTCGCTGACAGAAGAGTGTGCGAGGGCCAGGCCCCATCTCAGGAGGGGATCCCACCTGCAACTCAGAAGTCACCACCCTTCTTCTTAGGTCTGCTCGGTGAGGCTCAGTGCTCAATATTTTCTTTTGAAAATGTATGTGATATCACTAAAATCCTCAAACAGTTGCGTCCTGAATAATCCCAAAGGTTTTGGGGAAAAGGGCGGGAGTGGGGGGTAGAGTATCTTTTCTTAAAAGTTGACAATCAACCCTCAGCACCTTGAGCCCTGCTTTTGATATTTCCAAATGCTCTAGAATCGTCAGCTCTTAATGAGGCTGCAGGAGACAACTTTCCTTGGCGGCGGGAGATGGCGGGATGAGCAGTCTGCCTTGGGTTCCTCCAATTTTAAGCTATGAGGATTTTCTGCAGCAGAAATAAGGCTAAAAATTGCCAGTTCACTGTTCTGATTTGTGTGAAGCAAAAGGTCTGTATAATATTCTTTAGAGCAAGAAAATGAACGTGGGGAAGGGGGAGCTGACTGGTCTGGCTTAGGTCACCTGAGCAGTCCCCAGGCAGGGGAACGTGAAGACCCCACTCATGGGAGAGGGATAATTCCCCGAGGGAAAGATGGAAGACTGGATTCTGGGAGACCGAAACAACAACCGCTGCCTCTGGCTCCAGCTAATTCCTTCTCAAGTCCCTGAGAGCAGTACTCCTCTTTCTGAGCTTGTCTCCTTTGCCTCCGCGCTCTTGGTACATGGTGAGTGCCCAGTGGGTGTTTGTCAAAGTGAAGGGCCACTTTCCTAAGCCTGTGAGTACTCACACACTTCCTGCAGCGCCTTCTTTCTGCCTTGCTCATTAGAACAAAGTTCTAGTGAGTTAAGGTTACAAATGAAGGTGGCTGACATTTTCTTGCTTGAACAAGAAGACATTTCTAAGCTTAAGAGAGTTGGTGAGTGGTGCCGTCGAAGGAAGGAATTTAATAAAAGCCGAAGTTGAGCTGCAGTTAGAAAGCGTGAGGTGGTTTTTCCAGGGGGTGGTGGGAGGTGGTATCTGATGACCGCTGGTGCCTGGCAGCTTAGGACCTCCTGCTGACTGTCTGACGGGGGCAACAGGTGTTTCTCCTCCCGGTCAGTACGTCGCTTGGGCCCAAAGGCAGCCCCTGCCTTCTCTTTCCCATTTCAGAAGGAAAACTGTGAACCAAGGAAGTAGATTAGCAACCTGATGTGTGTTCCGAGTGTGAAGTCAGCATGTTCTATGTGCTGGGGGAGATACTTGGCCAGGATGAGGGCTATAAAGTCATAAAACAATGAAATCTATAGGGGGAAGAACAGTATCAGGTACTAATTTTGTTAACATATCATGTGACATGTCTGGCTTTGCTTTATGGGACAGGCCACTAACTAAATGGGGAGTTGTAAACCCAGATGCTCATGAGGGCCAGACTCGTGACAAAGAGACAGAGGAGGAGAGGGCCAAAGCCGCTGGGAGTGGCGGGGGCTGGGCCACATGCAGCCGTGGTGGACGTGGGACTGCTTAGCACAATTTCCAGTTATTCAAGGAAAGCTAGAAATTGGGATGTTTATGTGAAACTTCCAGATTTAATAAAAAACCGTATAGATTTGACACACCTGACAAAGCTCCGGTCTGCTTCCCTCTGTGCTAGATCAAAACTTTGTGTGCCCGTGGCCCCTCGCCTCTCCTGTTCATGACGTTCCCCCGTCGTCTGATCCAGCGCTGGTTTGTTGAAAAGCATTCAGCAAATATTGGTTGAATGCTATTTAAGGGAGCAAAAATGAAAACCGGTTTTTTGATAGGAAATGACAACCCGATAAACTTTCCTGAGTCTTTAAAATGTGGTCGGTGATGCTGCTTCTGCTGTTCCCCAGCTGGTGTTTGTGACTATCTGTCTTTCCGTTAAGCGTCAGACGTAGAAACTAGTTACCTGATCAGAAAGATGGAGATTGTTAATTCATTTATGAAAAGGCAATGCAGAAGTTAAAAACACTTAAAAAAAAAAAAAAACCCCAAATGCCAGACTTCCTTATTTAAAAATTGCTCGTAGAGAGAAATAAAGTGCTTTCAGCATGATGCTACAGATGAAGATGGGAGGTTTGGGATTTACCAAGTCATATTATTTCTATATGGCATTTGGGGAAAAGGGAAAAGTTTGAAACATAATCACCACACCAATCAAACCCACATTTGTCCAGGTAGGGGGTAGAACTCTTTTTTTTTTTTTTTTTGGCTGGGGCTGGGCTTGAACCTGCCACCTCTGGCATATGGGGCCGGCGTCCTACCCTTTTGAGCCCAGAACTCTTTTATTTAAGAGATTATCAGATTGATTTAAAGAAACTGTTAACATTTGAGACCTATAAGGGGGATGCACTCCATTTTGAACTCTTGTTCCAGATTCTGCAGTGTTAGGGTGGGCAGGCTCTGCGGAGCTCTGGGTTTCCCAGGCAGTCAACCAGCAGAGTGCATGAGGTGAAGGCCTGGGATGTGGTGAAAGGGTGTCCATGCCTCAGTGCTGTGGGCAGGGGCTGGGGCCGTGCATCTCCGTAAACATTCTTGGAAACTGCCAGGGCTCCTCTGCACACTGGCACTTTGCGCCCGGCTGCTGGGAAAGCGCGTCTCTGTTAACGACTACGGCAGTGCCTCGTCTCCTGCTCAAGACACTTAGAGTGTTCTTGCCGAAGTTGAGAGGCTCTACAGGCACAACTGCATAATCAGCTGACAGCAATTTCAAAATTGCAGGCCTCGCTGTTGATGGAAAAATGGGAGCGTTGTTATTCCTTGTATGTAATTTTCACCAAGAAATGGGGGGCTGGGTTTAATGTCAACACTTAGAGATTTACTGTGGCCCTATCACTGGAAAAATACACCTTTAGCCAAATCCCACCTCACAACAATATCGGCATTGTCTTGTTGCCCCCTCCACACCCCCCAGGGACTTCCCATTGCCGAGGTACACAGGGGCTCGGGTCAGAACAGAGCTGGACACAGCTTTCTTTCTCCACGTCCTGACACAGACCATGGACCATTCAACAGTGGGGCCACTGCTGTTTCCCAGAGAACCTGGGTGGGAAGGACCGGGGAGGACAAGAGGACAGTGGGGGCCTGGGGCAGGTTTTCAGCTCTCGTCTCCCATCCAGCAGGGAGGGAGTCTCACTCCAAGCGTGTGGACATTGTGGGGTGCACCCCCCCGATTTGTCCTCACCACCTCAAAGAGCCTCCACGGCATGTGTTTCAAATGAAAAGAAATTCAATTTTATTTATTTTAAAAACATAGAAAGGATGTCAGACTTCTTTTGAGGTGGATAATTGGTGATATTCTATGGAGTTCCTAGAAACCAAGGTGGCTCATCTTTGGGGACCCACAGGAAAACTAAGACTTATTGGAAAAATAGCTTTTGCCACGTTAAATTTCCGCTGGTTATTAGTAACTTGTCCCTCGAATCATGTTCAGTAAAGTTAATGAATTAAACATCTGCTTTTAACTTTTTCCCACTGAATGGCTCTTCCCTTCTCTGGAGAGCAATGGTTTGGATGTCCCAAACATGAGACCACTCTGATTGTGCATTTCTCTGAAAAATGCTGTCACCCTGTCCCCAGCACCAGCTATGAATAAAATTGGTAAACAGTTTCAGACTTTTATTTTGTAAGGAGACTTTTCCCAAGGCCAGCTCTGCCCTCGGCTGTGTTGCCAGGGCAGTGGTGATGCCTCTCAGAGGGCACAGAGGGTTCCTTCTGATGTTTGTTCCTTTGACGAAGTGACTTTTAGAGGTCAAGAGAGGCTGGGACATGTCTCTGGTGACAGTGACATTTGCTGTATTTTCATCAGCACAGATTGCAAGGCTTGCTGTGCACAGAGGAGAAACTCAGTTCAAGGCCAAGTAGCCAGGGACGGTTCAGGCTACCAGGTTAGGTAGGTCCTACAAGGACATAGGCTAAGACCAGCATGCTGGTCAACCCAAATGTTCTTGCCACAGGAAGAAAACCTCCACACAGGGCACTCCAGTTGCTCTTAGTTATCTCTTGGCTTTTCACAAAGGGGAGGCAGTGGCACGGGTGGCCCTTTCATAGCTGAGGGGTGAGACCTACTCCTCCGTGGCCTAGGCTGGAGCAGATGAACCCCACAGGCCTGCACAGACAGAGCTCTGAGCCCTGGGGCAGGCGGGTGAGGCCGAGGGCCTGGCAGGAGCCTGCATGCAGTACACACCCTCCTGGCGTCCACTTGGCTCCCAAGAGGACTGGCTGCTGCCAGGCAACTGGTGGCCCCGGGTCCTCTGTCTCTTTCTATGCCTTCAGCTCCAGCCCACTTCCTGGAGGTGGGAGGAAGCAGGGGGTATACTGGTCCCTCCAGAGCCTTCCTAAGACCCTGAGCTTCACGGGGAGGGAGTGGACACCAGTTCTGGGGATGTGTCCAGCCACACGTGGGTGCTGTGGCCCAGGAACCCCATGCATGCTCACCTCACCATCGCTCTGTTTTGCAGACAGACTGTGCCCTATGGGCTGTCAAACTACAGAGGAAGCTTCCGGGGCAGAAGGTCCGTGGGGCCGTCTTGGGGGAGCCGGCAGCCATCGGAGCAGACGCACACGCGATGTGCATGTGTGGGGCGAGAGGACAAGGCCTGCCTACACTTTTGCACCCAAACTCTGAATGCCAGCAGGTATGGCACCTCCAGTTCTCACTTGCAGACAATAACCACCCTACCCTCCTGGGGGCAAAGCCAGGCCCCGGGCTTCTCGAAGGAGGCTGCAGAATGGGTCAGCCATGTCCTGGCCGCTGTGGTTCTGTGGGCCAGGGAAAGGACCCACGGAACCCAGAGAAGATCTGGACCTCCAGGCCAGGAGGGTTGGTGATGGGGCAGTTTTGCGCCCTTGCTGCCTTCGAGACAGAAGCCACGCTGTGGCCACAGCTGTATCTGGTCTACAGACAAGTTTCTTCCGGCCTGTGCAGCACTTTGCAAAAATATAAATAAGTTGCCAACAATTTAAAGATCAAAGTATTAACCCCTCACCAAATGTGAATATTCAGCTTCTTCAAAAACAGTGCATGGAACCATCTGGTCCCTCACTGCCCTATATTTCCTGCTGGCCACTTGAGGCTGGAACTGGGTGGTGTCCACCCAAGTTTGAGTGAGACCTGCAAAGTCCTTTCATCTGTGTTTCTCATTTATCCTACTTTGTGGCCCCCAGAGGCCCTGAGTTTGAGACCCAGTGGTCTCTTCCAGCTGCCTTAGGGAAGCTCGTAAATTGTGTCCAATGTTATGAATGAGCAGACCCCAGACCAGACCCAGGGGGGCTGTTGAAGTGGGTATTCACTTAACAAGTATTCTTGTTAATTCTCCTTTTTCTTAACTTTGGGCCAAGACTCATCAACCCAGCTAGACAGTTTTTAAAACCTTTCAGAAACTTTGCAGGAGCTGGCGTTGGCGGGATATGACTAATTTCAAGGCCCTGGAGCATACAAAAGGAGCATAAACAGAGCTCTTAACAAGACAGACACCAGCGCAGTCAGGATCCTGGGATTTGCTGTCTGCAAAACCCGATGTTTACTGCCCTTTCTTTCCTGCTTCTGGGCTTTTTACCATCGGTGAATAACTGAGTGGGGAGAAGGCGCTGTACCTTGGTAGAGCCCACCCACTGAGCACTCAGCCTTGAGTGTCCTTGGGGAGTGCGTTGATGTACTCGTTGGTGGGGAAGACAAAGTCATCATTTGACAAAAAATCCCAGCCACATGGAAATGCAGGTTGATTCATTAAAACCGGCTCTCTCCCCACAGCAGCTCAAGGACAGCAACAAAGCCAGACAAAGAAGAGGAAGAGAAGGCGAGAGGGGCCGACAGAGGCCTGCGTCAGAAGATGTGACGCATCGTTCCTCCGGGGTTAGGGCGGCTGGAGGGGGCGGCAGTGGACTGGCTGGGGGCTCTGCACCCACAGGCCATGATGACTTCAGGTAGCCTGTCTCTAGGGCCAGAGGAGGCTGAAGCTGTGGACAGCCTTTGCCACTTCCCTGGCCCTGGCCGGCCCACCCTGTGTCCTGGCCCTCGCACCTCACAGCCCTGAGGCCATGATGTCCAGCCTGGTCTTCCAGTCTGGACAAGTCGCCAACCGCAGATCTCCCGTGGGCCCGTCTGCCCAGGCCCATGTTCTGCCTCTGCTTCCCCAGCAGCAGAGACCTTCATCGTCCCCCACCCCCCCCAAATCATTTCTTGTTTTCAATGTCTGATTCTGGACAGAGGTCAATTACATAACTTGGCAGCAGGCTCCCCCAAGTCCCCCAGTTTGTTTTATTATTATTTTTTAACCCGCTTGTCTTTTTTGTATGAGCGTTCCTGAGGGCTTCCTTAACCAAACCGGGTTTATTTGTCATCCTATCAATCAGAAACCATTATTAATGACTCACCTGCACATCTGTGGTGGCATGGTGATTTATGTTCATAATAAGAGCCTGGAGGTGGCTTGGGTTCCTACGGGGACTGATCAAGGTAAGATTAAACCATGCTCAGCACACAGGAAGCTTTCCAAATTGGTGGCAGACCGCTTCCAGTAGTCCGGAGAGGGATCTGTCAGCGTCCGTAATGAAAGTGGAGAGGGAGGAGGTGGGCGAGGCGGCAGAGAGAGGGCCCAGGAGAGCGTGAGTCAGACCCCAGCTGGTCCCCACTCTGCCTCTTTATTCTTTTCCTCTTTCTCTCTTCATCATCCCAAACCAAAACTCCTCTCAGCGAGGGCGGGATGCAATTAAACTCATCCATCGCCATCATTTGTTCACTCACTTACGAATTCATTCAGCAAAGATTTGTTGAGCACTGTGGCCTGCTGGGCACTGACCCAGATGTTTGGGAGATGGCAGGGAGCAAGATGAAGGGGCTGCCTTCCAGCTTGAATAGTGGGGCCGCAGGAGCAGACAGACCTGTGACATACAGTGAGACATACAGGAGAACAGGAAGGTGTGGCTGGGATGGGAATTGCTGGGGTGGCTGCAGTTTGAGGTGGGGGTGGACAGGGCAGTCTCTCTGCCTGAGTGACCTGAAGGACGTTGGAGGCTGAACTATGGGGAGGAGTGAGGGAATGGGGGTCCCAGCAGGGGAAACAGTAAGTGCAAAGGCCCTGAGGTGTGTTCAGAGAACAGCCAGCAAAGGAGCCCTGCAGAGGAAAAGCATGTGGATGTTCCAAAGAGGCGATCAGTGTCCCAAACGCGGGGGCCTCAACAGGTGGACAGGGCTCTGTGATTCATGCAAAACTCTTGTGAGAAGCTTTTCTTGTGAAGAAAATGTCTTTTGTGAAGCCAAGGTCCTTGCTTTCTTACAAGAGTCAAGTTAGTAATTCCCAGATTCACATCTCAGAATGAAAGCTGCCACCATACTTTGCTTGTGATCATCAAACGTTGGGCCAGACTGTGGCGGGGGTTGGGGGACAGTGGCTGAGGATGCTGGAATTTCTCTTTTCACACCTTCTAGGGCAGACGGTAGACTCTGAAATTGCTGAAAAGCACCAGGGAGAGGGCTGCAGGCGCAGGGGAGGAGAGGGCCTTTTTCCGCTTTCTGGAGCTAGTCTTTCTTCATATACCACTTTTTATTTTGCCCCTTTACCCCAATAGGGTAAAGTCAAGGACAGACAAAGCAAGTAGGCTTTAGACCTCTGCCCAGCAAAGCTGGTGCCCCACAGTGGACTTCACCTGCCTGCCCAGCTTCTTCCTTCTGGAAGGAGCCCCCTTCGGAGAACAGGCTCAGTGTCCTGTTCCTGGGAGGTATCAGCCTCTGCTGTGACAGTTCCAACTTCCACCTCTTTAAGGAGGAGGAGTGAATTTGCCTGGGGCAGAAGACCCACCTCTAGAGTCCCCACTTAACAATACCCTCCCACTCTGAGAATGCCCAAGTCCCAAGGGCCCCAGTTTCCCTAATGGGTAAAAAAAAAAAAACCCGATCCCAGATGTGCCCTGAGGCATGACACCCATGGCTGCTCTGGTTACATGCAGGAAATTATTTTCAGAGAGCTATGGCAAGTTGGAAAGCCACTTACTGGCTTTTGACATGACATCTCTTGGAGAATAAGTGGACTCTAAGCTAACTCTTTGCAAATGTAAACACGCATCCATCTCATAATAAACGCCAATGCCCACATGGCAGGAGCATGCCAGCCTTCCTGTCCTGACCTGGGACAGGCCTGGAGGTGAAAGTTTGTGAGGCTGCAAGGCGTCTGCTCCAGACACCAGCGTAGCTGTCTAGGAGTTTATGAGTTTGATGCCTATAGGATTTAGACAGAGAAATTTTCAGCTGTGCTTTGTACCCACCTCAAGAATTTATCTCAAAAAAAAGAAGAAGAAGAAGAAAAAGAAGAAAAGGAACCTTGATGTTTGTGACAAGAGAAGGAGAAAGTTAATATCTGCTGGCTTTGAACTCTGGGGCAAGCAAGAGCTTGTTCTTGGAAAATTGACTGACCTCTCGTGTCCTTTGCAGACACGGTGAGCGCAGGCCTTGTTTGCAGGAAGCTGGCTGTAAAGACAGCTCCAGATCAAGGCTATTCGGTTGAATATTTGCTTTCGTGAATAAATGTGGATCTTTGGGGAATGGCTGCAGAATAAGCCACGAACACAAATTCTTTGTAAATTATGTAAATTCCTATTTATCTATATAATTGGCAAAAACTGGGAATTGTAACTCCTGACAGTTCGAAATCTCTTTCAGCTGTGTTCTTCCTGCTGCGCCGAGCTCGCTGTGTGCGTGAAAGTGTGACTCTGCCACGTGAAGGCGTCCACGCAGGGGACAGGCTGCCCACCCCGCCACTGGCCGCACAGATGAGAGCTGGCGTTTGAGAGTGTGCCGAGGGCACTGTATGGGGAATTTAAGATGGTGTAGGATGGAATGTTGGCTTTGATGAAATGTTAAATTCTCCATGAGTATTTCATAAGTTATTAAAGTATAAAAGTGAATATCTATCACGAGGAAATGAAAGCACCTGATCTGCTGGTAGGATTCTGTACAGTTTAGAGAAGTGATTATTTATTGTGAAACTATTCTCTATTTCAATGCCTCTACGTGGACCTGTTCAAAGTAAAGTCCTTGTGTGCATGTGTGTGTGTGTGTGTGTGTGTGTGTGTGTGTAGATAACGGATTTTAAACTGTGTTCTCAGTCCAATCGCATATTCTTTAGTGCTTGAATTACATTTTGCAAACACGTACTGTTTGGCACTGCAGCAAGGCCGTATCTTCAGAGAGAAATCCATTGTGTGAATGCTCAGAAAATATTATCAAATGCATAATAAAAAAAAGTCAAGTTTGCTCTGATTTGTGAGTGTTTTTCCTTGCCGTTGCTGTAGGAATGCTTGTAGGTTAGCTTTACGTGGACCTCTGCAGAGGACTGGAGGAAGCTATGTTTTGGGAAGTAGAATCCATCCAAAGTCAATTCCAGCGAGAGATAAGGGGCCGCCTGAATATTAGGGAAGGAGCCTGTTTGGGGACCACCCAGAGGACGAAACGATTAATGGCAGTTGGGAAGAGAGAAATTGTGGGAGAGCTGATTGCTCCCCTGGGCCGCTTGTGCCTTCCTGGCAATGTGGAGGTTCCTGTCGGGCCCACAGGGATGGCAAGATGACCACAGGATCCCAGGCACAGAGCCCCGGAGTTGCTGCTCAGAGTCATTGAGAATTATAACTCAGAAGCGACCACGATTACAACATTTTTAAGGTTTTAAGACTTACAAGACGTCTCTGGAGCTTGGGGGTATTAGGAAGGCGTGGGGGGTTCTCTGTTTTCTTTCTTTTCCTTTCCTACCTTCCCCACCCCTCTTTAAATCAAGAATTGGAAGCAGGGAATCAGACAGAGACCCAGCTAAGGAGCAAAAGGAAATGCAATATTCTGAGTAGGTCTGAGCATGAGCTAATCTGAGAAAACCCAAGAGCCTCTTGTTTTAATTAAACTCATTTTAGAGAGTTCGACTTTGATGAACTGAGAGAGTGGGGTACTCATTTATTCTGCAGGATGTGAAGTAGCACCTGCTGCCGTGTTCACCTGAGGCTCTCACAGGGCCCAGGAGATCCCTCAGGACAACACCAAGGCCTGGAGCAAAGGATGACAGCAGAGGTGCTCCCGGAACAGTGGGCATTCCAAGCCCCGCACAGGGCAGAAGACTTTTCTGGCATTTGGGCCCACAGAGTTGTGAGCAGGGCCAGCTACAGAGAGTACAGGGCCCCTGGCTCAAACAAGCAAGAATTTAAAGATGGTGACAGTAGAGCCCTAAAGCACAAGGGGCTCGTCTGAACACGGCCCGGTCCCTGGCCCAGTTGCCTGCCAGTGCAGCCCAGAATGGAGGGCTGCTGGGTCTGGAGACCTGGCTTTGCCACCAACTCCTTTACAGGGACCACCCTTAAACCCTCTCAGCCTCAGTTTCCCCATTTATAAAATGTGTGTGATACTGGCTCTGCCAACCTCATGGCCTAATCAAGAAGTGTTCAAGACTTCAAACTTTGCCCTGATACAGCCACCAGCTCTTTTTTTCTTTTTCTTTTTTTTTTAATTTTTCTTACTTACACATGTGTATATTAGGTTTCCACTTTTGCCTTTACAGAATTAAAAAAGCTAAATTTAATGACAATAGCAATATTTAACATAAGGACTGAGAACAAAAACCTCATAAAGAACGAATGAAGATAAATACATTCAGAAAAGAAATCAGATGATTGCTGCAATGAAATATTAAGCAATAATAATAGTAATAATGCAAAGAAAGTGACATTCACGTTGTCAGATAGGAGTATGTCTATTACAGATTACTTTGATCAGTTAATTTCTTCTTATTTTGTTTTTTCCAAAGTCTCAAAAAAATAGACAACTAATATTTATAAATGAAAGTAACAGATAATTTAAAAAAAACAGATCATGCCAAATCTTATAGATAATAGAAAAAGAAATACCTCAAAATCATTCTACTTAATCTGGACACACCTGATATTAAAATTGGAGAAAATATATTATTGTAAGGGGGAAATTACAAACATATTTCACTTATAAATGAGGATGCAATATGATAAACAACATATTAACATGTTGAATTAAAAATTAATGCTTAAGTAATGTACTTTGGTCCAAATTAAATACAATTTATATAAGAATTAGTCACTAATTTCTTTCTTATTTTTTTTCCTTGCCCACACCCCCTCCCTCCTTCTCTGTCTGGTCTCCCCTTCCCCCAGGCTCCACCGTGTCATTAATTGTCATTAATTGTTTTTCTATCAGAGTTGAATACATATAATTCTTCTCCATTCCTGTGATGCTTCACTAAGAATAATGTGTTCCACCTCCATCCAGGTTAGTACAAATGCTGTAAAATCTCCATTGTTTTTGATGGCTGAATAATATTCCATAGTGTACATATACCACAGCTTACCAATCCATTGCTGGGTTGATGGACATTTAGGCTGTTTCCACATTTTAGGGATTGTAAATTGGGCTGCAATAATCAGCCTAGTACAAGTGTCTTTATAATAACAGGGGTTTTTTTTTCCTTTCTTCCTTCTTTTTTTCTTTCTTTCATTTTTTTCTTTTTGACTAAAATTTTCTCATGGAAGCATATCTTTGGACTTAGAATGGACCTTGAAGTAACATGTGATTTATAGAATTTGTCAGGATAGTTCATTTTCTCCCTCCCTGGAAGACATATGTTCTCCAAACTCCAAAATACTTAGATGTAAATTCTTAAATATCTCAAAGCCCAAGCAAATCAACGTACCTGTTATTGAGGCCATTATAAATCCACTTGGGTCCCTCTGTCACTGAATAGGCCATTTCTTTTTGCTTTTCTGGTAGGAATTTTCAGGATTGTTGGGATCAGGGTGGTATCTAGCGCAGGGGAATTATGAGAATTAGTACCTGTCAGAGGCCAGAATGAAAGCATGAAACCACCCTCTGTGCTAGGTGAGTCTCTTTTGAATGTTTTTTTGTTTTCTTTTTGTTGTGGTTCTTTTTTGAGATAGTTGCCTGCCCTTGGTTGAGAGTTGTGGCCTCATAGCTCACAGCAACCTCAAATTCTTGAGCTCAAATGATCCTCCTGCGGCAGCCTCCCTAGTAGCTGGGACTACAGGTGCCCACCACAACGCCCAGCTAGTTTTTCTATTTTCAGTAGGCACGGGGTCTCGCTTTCACTCAGGCTGGTCTTGAACTCCTGAGCTCAAGCAATCCACCTGTCTCGGACTCTCAGAGTGCTTGGATTACAGGTGTTTGCCACCCGCACTCACCTAGATGAGTCTCTTGAATCTTCCAGCCCTCTGGACAGTCCTGGGTAAATGATGGGGTGGAGTGAGAGACAGAAGAGGCAGGGGTATTAGGAATTCGTGGCATAGAGAGAAAACTTCTGCAGGACAGGGAAGGTGTCCAGTGCCCCTGTCTGCCTTCCTCTTTCCCTTTCTTCCTCCCTTCTCTTCCTTCCCCACTCAGACTGACCTCTCCCATGAAGCTGCCTTGTGTTAATCCCTATTTATCTGTATGATTGGCAAGAACCACAAGGACCTAGTCTGGCTCCCAGTATCCACCTAGCCTTCAGCGCCGTGTGCAGGACCTTGCACAACCTGTAGGAGCACCTGCCCTTTCCCCTGGCTTCCTTTCTGCTAATCTCATGAAGGGGTTTTCACAACCAAGGCTGT